ACTCCATTCCCGCCCTGGAAGAATACCTTCCAGAGCTGAGAAAGGAGTGAATATGCAGACTGAAGGTGATCACCTCATTCCAGGCATATTAAATAAAAGAAACGCACATCAAGACACATTCCATTGAAATGTTTGAATTCCGAGAATACCTTTTAAAATCCTATTAACAGGACTGGAAAAAGGTAACATTCAAAAGGAGTATCGATCAGGCTTATTCCAGAGGTTTTTCCTTAGAAAACCCTGGAATAGCATGCATTCATTACCAGAGCCACAACGTTTGGAAAGTAAGGATGGGAACCTGAGAAAGGTAAATCCAGCCATCATTCCAACAAAAGCAAATGCCCCGTGTGTCGTGTTTTGTGTCTTGGGTCAGGTTCTCCGGGAAGCAGACTCTGGGATGGGGAGCTGTGTGTCTGGCCTGCAGGGGGTTGACCGGGGCACGTGCTCCAGAAGGACGCCCTGGGGGGAGAGCGAGGTGAGCAGAATGTGGAGGGGGAAGAGCTGAGCTGCAATACGTTTCAGCCAATTGCACATGGAGCTCTGGGGCTGAGGTAGCCCTTGGAATTATCTGGAATTGAGCCAAGGCGGGCCTCATGCCCCTGCAGAGATGAGAGGAAGCCCCTGAACAAGGAGTGGCCCTGGTCCGGGCAACCCCTTTCCACTTACCGCAGTTCTGAGAGGGGCTGCCAGCTGGGACCATCAGCAGCTGGGGGGTGAGCGCCTAAGTCCTGAAGGGACCCTTTAACACCACATTGTTAGAAAACATCTTTCCTAAAGGCATACCCCGGCCAGCGCAGGGAACACTGTGACAATATGAAAAGACAGGAGCGTTTTCCTCATTTATGTTTAACCTCAGACCCTGTTTGACTACATATTTCAAGCAACCATGGGGCAAAGACTGGTCCCTGAGTTTTCCCATATCATTCTTATCCTGGCTTCTAGAAATGCCTCCCACAGCCTGGTGGAATCTCCTACCACAATTTACTGCCACTTAGAAGAGCACCTGGTAAGTTTCCCTCCCGTCTTTCTTAATATGGGCGAATCTCTATACAAGGCTAGAACCTTGTGCTGGGTGGCTCAGCAAACCAAAAGGCTTTCATTCCTCTCGCAGAAAAGCAAAGTTTGATATGGCAAAATAACGACCATTTCAGAAGGAGTTAATGATGATTTTCTACATCTTTAAAATCCTCGCCGAGGCAGCCACTCTGGAGAACAAGTTTGGAGGTTCCTCAAAAAGTTAAAAATAGAGCTACCCTACAATCCAGCAATTGTGCTACTAGGGATTTACCCAAAGGATACAAAAATATAGATTTGAAGGGGCACATGCACCCCAATGTTTATAGCAGCATTATCAACAATAGTCAAATTATGGAAAGATCCCAAATGTCCATCAACTGGTGAATGGATAAGGAAGATGTGGTGTATATATACACAATGCAATATTATTCAGCCACCAGAAAGAACAAAATCTTTCCATTTGCAACAACGTGGATGGAGCTAGAGAGTATTGTCCTCAGTGAAACAGGTCAGAGAAAGACAAACACTGTATGATTTCACTCGTGTGGAATTTAAGAAAGAAAACAGATGAACATATGGAAAGGGGGGAAAAAAGAAGAGAAAGAGGGGGAAACAAACCACAAGAGACTCTTAATGACAGAGAACAAACTGAGGGTTGCTGAAGGGGAGGAGGGTGGGGGATGGGTTAAATGGGTGATGGGTATTAAGGAAGGCACTTGTACTGAGCACTGGGTATTATATGTAAGTGATGAATCACTCAATTCTACTCATGAAACCAATATTACACTGTATGTTAACTAAAATTTAAATAAAAATATGAAAAGAAAAAAAGGTATATCTCCTGTAGACAGCAAAAAAAAAAAAATTTTAACTCGATGGGAGGAGTCCTCTTATAATGTATACATGTATCAAATCACCATGCTGTACACTTTAAATATCTTACAATTTTATTTGTCAATTATACCTCAATAAAGCTAAAAAATGTAGGAAGGGAGGAAGGAAGGAAAGAAGGAAAGAAAGAAGGAAGGAAAGAAGGAAGGAAGGAAAGAAAGAAGGAAGGAAGGAAGGAAGGAAGGAAGGAAGGAAGGAAGGAAGGAAGGAAGGAAGGAAGGAATCCTCACTGAGAAAAAGCATCATTTATTTTCCCAAGCAGGATTGTTCCAGAACAGGGCTGCTCCGAAGAGGCTGTGAGAGAGGAAAATGGGAAGGGAAGTCTACCTCTTATTCCACCCTCTTTTCTTTACAATGAGCGCATCAGGGAAATAGCCATTAAGCTTATTTATTTAAATCAACTATCAAATGGATTCCATTTCTTTTTATTCTTAGTAAGGAAAAACTGATGAACCCAGTGGTAAATACAGTTGGTCACAAAGCCCTCCACCTGGAGCTCATGGCTGTTTCTCTTGGAGGTAAAAACTTAGATGATTTAAACTGTTTTATTTATGTTTTACTTTTTCTGCATTTTCTAAATATTCTTCAATGAGTGTATATTACCTGTATGATTAAACAAAATAGATGCTATTACAGACCAATGCAGGTGACCACACATACACCACAAGAACACAAATGAACTCAAAATAAACCCAAATATTAACTATTTTGGAGAAAGGACATAAGAAAAGGAGTGACATTTTTTTCCTTTCTTCAGTGTTTCAGATGTTTGTTCACAATTATTTTTTTTTTACATTTTATAGTGAAATCACAAAATTAATTTTTACCTCAAAGAGCTCAGAGAAGGTTTTATTGTTTAAGTTAGGGACTGCACCTACCATGTCTTTACCCAGCTTAACAAGTCCTTTGGGAAGTTCTTCTTACTTAGCCTAAATCCCAGGTGCTGCCCTGTTAGGCGGGCATGTGTGATGGTCTTGCTGGTAACGGGAGTGCTGCTGAGATGGTTTGGGCCTGGGGGTGGGGGCAAATCACAGAATCCCTAATTCACTTGTAGTGGGAGAGAGGGAGAAAGCAGAATCCTTTCAGGGTGGAAACCTATATCCGGGCAGATGAAATCTCCCTTCCTCCCCACCTAGGTCTCCCCAGGAGGCGCCATCTGACCTGGTCTCTCGGGGGGAGCTCTGGCCACCCCTAGCTTCCACACCCAATCTCCAGTCCCTTAACGGGACAGAGTGGGGCAGGGAAAAAACAAAGCAAAAGGCCCATTATGCGAAGGAAATAGAATGGAGCTCCTACGCGCACTACTAATCCCCTCTACCTTGCTCAACTTTTTTTTTTTTCCTCCATAGCATCTCATACCTTCTCACATTCTGTATAGTTTATATTCGCTGTTCATGATGTCTTCCTGACTCACCCACAAGAACGTAAGCTCCCGGGGGGCAGGAATCATTGTGTCGAGTGATGTATCCCGAGTGCCCAATACAGAGCCCGACACGTGGTAGGTGGTCGGTACGTAATTTTGAATACGATTCAAAACAGAAAACTGAAATTTACGGGACAAAAGGATTGATGAGATACACAAAGTGGAAACAGCAAGACAGCATATACCGCGGAATTGTAACTAAAAATACGCATCAGTTTGAGAGGGGTTGAGAGTCTGGAAGGAAACACAGCAATTGCTGATGTTGATTCTAAATTTGGGGGACTGTGGATGACTTGGCTTTCTTCTTCGTTGGTTTTCTGATCGTCTGACTCTTGGGGTGCAGGTGGCACTTCTGTGATCATATGAAAATGTTTACTTGGAAAAAAGAGGGAAGAGAGGTGGGGTCCTGAGCCAGCCGCGGTCAGCGCACAGAGGGTGTCTTGGTGCTGGAGGCAGCCCCGGACCCTCAGTGTGGAAATACCAACCCCACCCACCCTGGAAGGACTCGTCCTTGGGGAGAGCCTCCCTTTTATGTGCCTGGAATCTCCGTGTCATTAACGCTCCTGACGGAAATTTCTCTCCCGTGGACCACTCCCCTCTTCCCAAGTTAGCCGAAGCCTGTTGTAGGGCGATGCAGTGTTCTGTTTTGATAATACCGAGTGTGCATCCAGGCTCACGTGCTGAGCGTGACCACGGAGGCCTGATGTGGTTAAAGTGTACCGTAGGACTACCGGTACGTGAGCAGCGTGGGACAGCCTTGTCTGCTGCCCCCACTAAAGCTGTGCCCTGGTGTCCCCATAAAAGAAGGGACCACTTTCCAGAGCAAGAGCTGGTGGCAGCACCACCCTGCACGTGGCCAGGAGGCAACAGAAGCCACGGGGAGCAGCAAGGATGACCAGCCCAGCACCCGTGGGCCCTGAGATCACCAGGTGTGCTGAAACCTGAGAACACTCAGCTCTCCTCTGGAGCGTGGCCCTCCTCAAAGCTTCCATCCAGACACTGAGTTGGACTAGGGCCGGGTCCCAAGGAACAGGACCGTGTAACTGGTTTCTGCATAGCAGGTGGGGTGTGTGAAAGACAATGACAAACGATGTTTGGTCTTCGCTTCCGACCATACTTGAAAATCTCACCCCCCACCCCCAAGGTTCAAAGATGTAACTTTTGAACCATCTTGGGCTTGTCATTAATTCATATGTAAAATGGTAAGCCCCTTACCTCTCCTGCTTTCACATTTCCCTTCTCCCTTGTATTTCTCCTTAGCCCCTATTTACTAGCTGAAATCCTAAACATTCATCAGCTTCTTGTCTGTCTCTCCGCAGAAAGGAAGTTCCATGAGGCAGAGATCTCTCTTGGACTCTGCTGTATCTCTCAGCTGAGAACAGCAACTGGGATGTAGTAGGTACTCAATAAATATTGGTCAGAAGCGACAGAAAGCAAGAGACTCAAAGACAAGGAGACGGGGACACCTGGGTGGCTCAGTCGGGTCAGCGTCTGCTTTCGGCTCAGGTCATGATCCCGGGGTTCTGGGATCGAGTCCCACATCAGGCTCCCTGCTCAGTGGGGGGCCTGCTTCTCCCTCTCCTCCATGCTCCCGATCTCTCTTACGGTCTCTGTCTCTCTCTCAAATAAATAAACAAAATCTTAAAAAAAAAAAAAAGACAAGGAGACGTATCTTTATAAAGGAAGTTTCCATTTATTTTATTACTTTAGATCTGAACCTGCGTTAAGTGATGGTTAGTTGCACAAGCTCAAAGCATCCCTGTGACATGAACTGGAGACAAGCCCGGGTTTGGACCTCTGCCACTCACCATCAAGTCCAGTGGCCACAGCAATCAGCCCTGTGACTTAATTTGCACCCAGTGGGGCTGTGACAGCCCCGGCTGCAAAGACTCAGAGGGGTCTGCTCAGGGAGATGGTGGGAAGGGGTGAAGGATCCCTCAGGATGGGGGCTCACTTCTCTCCCAGCCTGTGGCCACCTGAGAGAGGACACCTGAGGGAACGCAGGGAAGGCTCATGTTGCCTGGGAGCCTGGGGGTAAAGACGCCCAGTTCTTTCACCAAGTGACTCAAAATAGGGTCCCAAGCCCCCAGAAGGATACAAAGAGGACCTAAAAGAAACTTAAGCTTGAAGTTTCTGAGAAGCAGCCCCATTTCTCTTCCTGCCTGTGCTCATTCTCTCGCTCGCTCTAGCCTCTCTCTCTCTCTGCACACGCACACCTTGCCAAGACCCCGGCAGGCTGGACCCCGGCAGAGGTGGACCAGGAGGCCCAAGCAGGTGCACAGCCGCTCTCTGTGAGGTTCCTGGCTGCTGCGGCAGCCCCCAAGCGGGGCTGGCTCACTCACACGTTTGTGTGCTGAGAACCAGAGGACGCGATGCTGCCCGGCTGGCTCCGGCCCGAGGGTGCTGAGCTGGGCGCCCGGCTCGTGCTGCGCTGCCCCCCTCCCAGGCTCCTCTGGGCCGGCTCGTCCGTCAGCTTGAGTTTCTCATGCTCCTCTTTCAGGAAGAAGTCCACCAACAAGCCCTTCTCTTTCTTGATCTGGTCGCTGATGTCCGTGGGGATGTCGGGAATCATCCAGTCCACAAGGACACTCAGGAACATCACGAGGTTCTGCCAAAAGCCAGGGAGAGGGGTTGAGAGGAGAGGCCCGGCCCAGTGGGACACCAGGGCTTCCCCCCGACGGTCACCCTTGCCCATCAGAGTGGGGCGGGCGGTGTGGCGCCGAGGCGGGGGCGGTGGCAAGCACAGACCCAGGAGCAGGACACCGCCGTGCCCTTCTGGCTCTGCTACTTTCTAGCAGGTGCCCCAAGCTGGCGGGCAGAGGTGCCCCGCAGCATCCCCATATAGAAAGTGGAGCAGTTAAATAAGTACCTGTCCCCCGAGCTGTTGTGAGGATGACACCAGTCAGTGCCTCACACGGGGCGGGGCTGTTGCTGGCCTCCTCCTGTCCTTCCTGCCCGGCCTCTCAGCCCGCAGGCGCCCTGCTCCAGCGCTCCCTGGGAAGTGGGCACAGGGCCCGCTGGCCCCCCCCAGAGCTCCCCCCGAGCCCACTGCTCCTCTCTGGCTTCCAGCCCGCCCTCAGTCCTCCAGGTCAGAGATGGACCTTTGGTTTCTACACTGACTTCTGGCCTCGGCCAACCTCGCCCTCACCCGATCCCGCTCTCTCTCCCATCCCGCTGAACAGGCCACACCAGCCCATCTAGGGCCCCTGCCTGCAGCTGCCCCTTCTCCATTCTCAGCTTCTGTGCACGCTGGTAACTGGCTTCCTTCTTCCATCTGCTGAGCCCCACCCCTGCGCTTGCAAACATTCCTGCAGCACTTCCCACTGAAGTGGCGAATACCTCACAACAGCGCCAGCTCAGCCCGGTACATGGCAGCTCCCTTCATAGCCTGGTTCCCACCCAGTTCGCCCCCCAGAGCTGGGGCATTCTCTGCCCTCCAGGCACACGTGCACTCTGAGATCCGGGACAGCGACGGAGCCCCAGACGAGATCTCTAGGGCACGGCTGTCTTCCAGGCTCTAAACCTATTCCCACCTTGACCTTGACCCTCCCCCACACCTAGGGGCCCAGGGGAGGGCCAGCGGACCAGCTGCTGCGTCCAGAGGCTCCTGGGTGCCTTTCATGCTCTAGAGCAGCTTCAAGCCACACTCTCCTCTTAAACCAACTTTCACAGTGTTAACATAACAAGTGTTCCATGTGACCTGTGGGAAAGCCAGGGGACGCCTGCAGGGGGGAGCAGCTTTTCAAATCCATCGCCCCATCTCCCCAGAGCAAGAATGGATGTCTTCTTTAGGTGAAAGACTAGCTGATGGGCTTCTCCACTTCCTGGGCCAGGGTCGGGCCAGGATATCTTAGAGCCCCCCAGAGATCTGCCTTCAGGGAATACAAAGGCCTGAGGGAGTGGAAGAGAAAAGGATCTGGGCTCGCACTCCAGCCCCTCTTGAAGGGCGGCAGGACCCCTAGTGGGACCTGGGGCCGCACACCCGCAGATCTCGGCCATGCAACCCGAGCTACGGCTATTGTCAGAGATAGCGATCGTGGGGCTCGAGTTGCTATTCATCCATGGAGGCATGGCCGGATGGCTCTGGAGCCCTCCCCACCAGATGTCTCAGGGGCCGGAGCACGCTAACAAAGGAGGGAGCCAGCTGAGCGCTAGAAGAATGGTTCAGAACTCGACCCCTTTCTTGAGCTGCGGAGACCAGGCGGGGCTCTGTTTGTCTGCAGTAGGGTTGAGACTCTGGTCCCCACTACTCTTCTCGCTTTCTTTCTTGTCTTAGGTCTAAATGGGACTCTGTCTCCACCCTGCATCTTACCCCACATCTTCTTGTAACCTTACTCTGCATTCTATTCTCTTTCTGCAAATCCATCCATTAATGGAAGTCCTCTTGAGAGTGCTCCCTGCCTCCTCCACTTGCAGAGACCCCTGTGTCACAGTGTCCTGAAAGCATGGGGCAGAGGGGCAGGAGAGGAGACGTGGCTGTCTTTACCCCTGCAGCCCAGATTCTATTCCTTATCTGAACAACTCACCTGGAAGATGATGACGAAAGCCAGACGGGCAGACAGAATGGCCCAGTACTGTTTGGAAAACTCATATGGGTTCGGGGCCCACGGCGGCTCTCGGTAATCCTTAAACCTGCCCAGAGAGAAATGTGGTGTTACGACTGGGAAGAGACGGAGGGAAGCAGGTGCTTCTGATCCTCAAGGATCGGAGCAGCAGGTAAGCCTCAGGCTCCCAGACTTGGGAAATAGCAGGAAGCAGGGAGGGAGGAATTCACAGCCCCACCAAAAAGCGTCCATGGAATAAAAGGACCAAAGTCCTAAAAAAACCCCAGTGTTGGCCTGGAAATGTCTTTTTCCTACTCTCTCTCTTGAACATCCCCCACGGCTTCCTCTGGTGTCTGGATTCTTCTTCCAGAGAAGCCCAAGAATCATGAGAAGAGCCCAGCACAGTGGTCCATGTTGGCCCCACTGGCCATGAGCTCAAGAGGGGAGGGAGATGCCCAGAAACTTTGGACAGCTCTCAGCAGCCCCTGGGCTCAGGGATGACACAGGTGGCTGCAGACAACCCCAGGCTTCCTTCCTGGCTGGCTGCTTCGGGACCATGGCCATAGAGGTGGCTTCATTCTTGCACCCCAAGGAAGGCTGACTCAAACCAAGCTCAAGGCTGAGTGAATTTGGGGGAATGGTGGTAATAGTGATGGTTGGTCAGTATCCTCTTCTACTGACCACATTTATGATCTGTCCATGTGGCTTAAGAAACAAAATGTCAGCGTCTGACATGAGCTCACGCCTCTTTCTCAGACCCATGGAGAGATTTTCCTCACTGCTGCCTTTTCACCCCCATTCTGTGATGACTCATGTTAAAAACCGCTCATTTTCAGGGCACCTGCGTGGCTCAGTCAGCTAAGCATCTGACTCTTGATTTTGGCTCAGGTCATGATCTCAGGGTCCTGAGATCAAGCCCCACATCAGGCTCAGCAGGGAGCCTGCTTGAGATTCTCTCTCCCACCCTCTCTGCCACCCCCCCAAAAAAGGCTCATTTTCTCAGACTCAGTTTTTTCTAAGCCTGGACAAGTGATAAGAGCTGGTACCAGAAGAATTATGACCCTTCATGGAACTGTTTTCTCCATGGAATTCAACAGATCTTTGAGGCTTAGTCAAAGCAAAACAAGCCCTGGGGGAAGGAGTGGGGCACATGGCTGCCGAGGAAGGCAGGGTGGGGACTCTGTCTGAGGAGGGGCCAACAAGGAAAACGACCTACACTGAACATGCAATACGCACCAATCCCTGAGCAAGGAGCTTTTCTGGAAGCTTTCCCATTCAATCTCCATAGCATCTTCTGGCAGGCACCGATATCCCGATAGAATGAATATAGGGGGACACTGAGGCTCAGGGAAGGTCAGTTACTTGCCCAGGTCTCTCTCATGGCCAGCAAGAACTAGAGTCAAGGCGAGAATCCCAGTCTGGCTGAAGGCAGGCCTTTCCTCTATTGTCACAAAGCACCTCGCCAAGAGCTGCAGTTTGAGGTGGGGGATTCAGAAATGGGTGTTTTGGTTTTTTTTAAGATTTATTTTTAAGATGTATTTACTTACTTGAGAGAGAGAGAGTAGGGGGAGGAGCAGAGGGAGAGAGAGAATCTCAAGGAGACTCCCCAATGAGCGCGGAGCCCAACGTGAGGCTTGATCCCACCACCCTGAGATCATGACCTGAGCTGAAATCAAGAGTCGGATGCTTAATGGACTGAGCCACCCAGGCGCCCAAAAAATGGGTGCTTTCTGTCCCTTCCCCACCCAGAATGAGCCAGCTGCCCTAAAAGATCTGGGTAAAAGCATGGTGGCTTCCAACTGTCCACAGAGAGATGCAGGAAGAAGAGAAGGAAAAAAGAGGAAGAGGAAAAGAGATGCACACAGACAGAAAGAAAAAGGCAGAGCGACAGAGTCAACAACAGGAAGAGACAAACAGACGTGGACAGTAAGCAGTCGACTAGGGTTGGGCAGGAGGCCAGGAGCTGTCCCTTCCCCACCTCCCCCTTCCAACAGCTGATCACAGCTGTTGCAGGCTTGCTTTGACATCCGGATGAAAAGCAAAGCTAACTGCAGCCCAGCAAAACATGACGGGATTCAGCATATCCATCCGAGGCTGAGGACAGAAGCACGGCCAGCTCCAGATTAGGCTTGCTAACAGGAGAGAGGGAGAGCATGGCTAAATGGAGAAGGACACCTTGGGGTGGGAAAAAGCTCAGGCTCACTGCCCTCCAGCTGCCCCCCAAAAGACCCCATGGTCCCCCAAGGGGATTTATCTACACTTCTCAAGACCTCAGGAGGACAGGTGTGACACATCCGCCTACTCTGTACCATGAGGACACCCTTCCCCAGGTCCAGCCCCATCCCTCCTGCTATAACCAGTCTGTTTCCCTTGTGTTCTAGCTCCATCAATGAAGGAACAGCTGCTCACTGACCTTGCTCTAGGGGCCACTGCTCACCCCTCTTTTTTCCCAGTCTGAAAAGAACCCATAAATAATCTAATTCTGGTCCCACCTCTGATACTAACACCACAGATTTTGGAGATGTCCCTTTGCCCTCCCTGAGTGTCCAAAACATTTTTAAAATTTAACAAACACATCCATTGAATCAAAGATCTGGGGAAAGAGTAAAATAGATATTTCCAGAAAGCTTTACTTGAAAACACCCCCATGCCAATGGGCTAAAGGTAGCTCTGGTAGGACCTAGAGGACGAACTATCCATAGAAAAGAACAATGCACAATTTAATGAATTATGCGTCTGTTCATCTTTCCCTTTCTGAAGCTAACTTTTAAAAAGAACTGTGACCTACAGTAGTAAGAAATCATTTTCCATTAATGCATATGTAAGTATGTCACTAAAATGAAAATCACACCCTTGCCGTGTGCGATGCCCCGATATTTTCTGATTCTATTCTCTCCTGTCTTATCCTATTCTCGTCTTTAAAATGCTGATCCTGACCCACTAAGGTGATTTTCTAACCCATTCATGAACAATGACTCACAGTTTGAAAAATATTATTCCCGCAAGCCTCTGCCACCAGGAAAGGATTGGTTGTTTACATTCCAATATAAGTTCAGATTTCATCATTTTTTTCAAGTGTCATCCTAAGAAGTCAAGCTTAGCAAATGTTTTCACTGAGTAACAAGAAGACACTACTTAAACAAAGAGATAATTTTTAAGACTAGAAATGGCCACAAAAGATGAGTGACCGGGGTGCCTGGGTGGCGCAGTCAATTAAGCGTCTGCCTTCGGCTCAGGTCATGATCCCAGGGTCCTGGGATCGAGTCCTGCGTCGGGCTCCCCGCTCAGTCGGGAATCTGCTTCTCCCTCTCCTTGTGCTGCTCCCCCTGCTTGTGCATCCTCTCTCTCTCGCTCGCTCTCTGTCAAGTAAATGAATAAAATCTTTAAAAAAAAAAAGACGAGTGATCAATGAACTTAATTGTGTCCACCATGACACATGAGCTGTTGTCCAGGTGTGTTTAGCTTCTAAGCCCAGTGCCCAGCACTGGCAAAAGCATGGGCTTTGGAGTCACCAGATGAGGGCTTGATGCAACCTCTACCACTTTGGTTCTATGTCCTCTAGAAAGTTACCCGATGTTCTGATGGCCAAGGTGCTGGTCTAAAAAATGGCCTCAACATTCCATCTTACAGGGATGTAATGAAGAGGAAATGTCAATGAAGAGCACGTGGCACACCACCCGACCTATTAGATATATGCCCAATAAGCAGTAGCTATTCTTTCTCCTTTGCCTGGAGGTAGCTGACACCTCTCCTATGAAGAGAACAGAGCACATATACCCCTGCTCCCAGTGCCTCCTGGCATTCCAGGGGGATTTTTGAGCTCTTGGGCACAGATGCTCCAAGCTTCCCCTCATGCTGATATGAATCAGAAAGAGTCAGCCATCACCACAACTGCCAGGGTCTTCTCCCAGGATCTGCGTCCAGGTAAATGGCACAAAATAGGGAAGCCTCAGGCCAGTGGGCGGTAGAACTTCTGCTCCATTCCCAGCAGCTCAAAGGCCTTCCAAAACCAGATGCTTCTCCCTGGTTGAGGGAGTGTGGTTCTCCCAAAGTCTCGCTGAGTGGTGAAGCACTGGGTGAACCCCCACATCTGGTCACTTCCTGCACCTGCTGGCTGGGATTTAAGTTCAGAGGTATGATTTTAGGAACCATTCCTAGATCTCATCCTCACCACTCCAAAGCTCTCCTTATTCTTTTGAGCCTTAGTATTAATTTTGAGAGTGCCCTTGAGTCTGGTAATAATGAGAGGTTTGTAATTACAAAACCACTAGAGTGTCTAAACAGCAAGTGTGCACTGGGAGTGGCCTCTGTCACTTACTAGCTATAAGACCCCGAGAAACCTGTTTCTCATCTCTGAACCTCAGCATTCGAATCTGTAAAATGGAGCTAGTAAAACATGCATCTCCGTGCTGAGCACACGGAAGTGCTCCAGCTCTCTCCCACCAACCACAAATAAATGAACGTGTACATGCATGCACGTACATGTACATCAAATGTTAAAGGAAAGCACAGTGAAAATTAAGTAAGACAATGCATGTGACTGTGATTTCTGGAGGCTTCCACAGAGAATAAATACAATGGTTTCTTCCAGGAGAGAATGACTGGGGTCAGGACTATGAAGAAAGTGTTTTCCTTTTGTATATATACATATGTATACAGAATTGCTTTTATGATAAAAAAAAAAAATCATAATTTCAAAAGGATATAATTAATGCCAATATTTGGGGGACCCAAACACATTTTTATACTAAGCTTTGAGGAGCAAAATTATAGTGTTAACTGAGACAGACTCATATACAGTAAGTGAAACTGGTACAAAACTCATTATTATAATTTAGCTTTAAATTACTTCAAGATTATATCTAGATTGTTCTAACACTATGAAGAATCACACTATGAAGAATTTATACACTACCTAAAGAAATAAGGTTCCCATTAATTCAAAATATATTTCATTATTTTAAACAAAGCCATGAAACCCCTTAAAGGTTCTATGAGCTCACTTGGTGTTAACGCACGGAAGAGTCTGAGAAAGACGTGCACAAATGCCTTGCCGTGAGTACTGTTGGGGAGGTGCCTAGGACCAGG